GTGGGAAATTTTGCTCTTGAGACAAAAGGTTTCCTTAGCTAGTTCTGGTAGATGTTAAAATTATTTTGACAGAATAAGCAAAGCTGGCTATAGATTTTTCTTAAACTCAACATATATCCACTCAACTTGGCTTGAAATAGTAGTCAAGAGTAAGTTTACACTCCATTAGGTTAGAAGACTTTTAGACCATGCTCACCGTAAGTCAATTATTGGGAATTCACTTATCACAGTTTGAAATGTCTCAGTTTTAACTTGTGGCAAGATATTCTGAAATCTCTCTTTTAGGTGGTGTATTTGGCTCCTGGCTACAAAAACTTTCTATTTAATCACTTTTAGTGATGATCTGTTCACTGACAAGAGCCAATTTACTGCTGTTAGCTGCAGTTGAGGAGAAAGCTGCAACTTTTTTGCTTGAGAATACAAAAGAAAGGAAGTTTGGGGGTTTGTTTTGTTTTGTTTTGTTTTTCAGGATGGAGTAGTAGTGAATTTATGGAAATGTCAATGGACTTGCAACAGAACTCCCCATATTTTGAGATTGAGCTTAAATGATTATAATTTCATAGGGGAGGCATTTTGACAGAATTAAGAATTTCTTAGTTTCAATATTTTCACTTTTGAAATGTTAGATCAAATCTGTTGTCCATAGAGTGTCTTACCCAGCATATGGTAGGAACTTCATAGAGGTTTGGGTTGGACATGGCCAGCAAGCTATGACTACAGAGATACCGAAGTGAAATGTAAAGCGTGAGAGTGTGTTTAACCTCTGCAAAATGAAAATATGGTTTTACTTCCTTCTGGTTTACACTGAACCCTAGAAGTAGGTTTTTCTATGAACCTAATGAGCTGGAATGCTAGTAGATCTGAGGGCTTTTTAATTGGTTTTTGAAAGGTTAATCTGTTTCTGAAAAAATTATCTGAACTTGCCTCCAGATAACAACAAAAGATTTCTGGAGAAATAGACTGTATCACTTTTCAAAGGTTACAGTACTAAATGCACTTAAAATTATATATTTAGAAATATTTAGCATTTATACTTTTACTCACTCTTGTTGTGAATTATTTAACTGAATACATGGTGAAAGAAAAACAAAATGTTTGATTGGAACAGAAATAGCTCATATGTCTTTTTAGCAAAAGTGTTTAATTTTCTGTCTTGGAAAAAAAAACAACAACAACAACAACAAAAAAACCCAAAAAAACCCCACAAAGGCTTATACAGCAGATGACCTATGTGAGGACTGGGGTTGAATAAACATCTCAATTGGCTTTGGTAACTAGAAAATGTGCCAGTTCAGTAAAACCTAGTCAAGCTCAAAATTATTTTTAATTTCTTAAATTAATTTCTGTTCTCTTGATTCTTAGTCTGTCTGGATTCTTACTTCCATCTAACTTTATTTTTTTTTCATATTCCTACTTCCACATCAATACTTCAGTTAAACAGTATTATCATCCTTATTCTGTAACCTTGAACTCTCAAGATGGATCCTTGGATGACTTGTCTTCAGTGCAGTTTAGAAGAAAAGTCTACAGGGTCAACGGTGTCTTGTCCTATTGAAAATCTACTGGCTTGTACAAGGGCTAAAAGGCTCAGTGCCAGTGTTCCCCCAGCACCCAGAATGATACCTGAGCTCTGCCAAAAACCTCATCTGTTCCTTCGATTAAAGCCTGTCCTCACATGGGAGCAGAGATGGAGTGTGACAGAGGCACTTGCATGTCAGCTCGGTGCCGTTGCAGGACCACCCACTGTTTAACCCTCCTATTACTCCCCAGTTGGAAGAACTCTTTGTCCTTGACAGTGCAGTGCCAAAGGGCTGTGCGTCAGCAAAGGCTTCTCTGCCTTTCTTCCACAGTAGCAGGCTTAGCTAAAAATCTATGTGTGCAAATAATGTCATTTAATGTTTGCCACCGCATTCTAATCCAGACACATTAGATTTGTTCAAAACTGTACAATACATGTGTTTTTTCTCTCTGATAAAAATATTTGCATGATGTGTTTCACTGAAAAACAGATTTTCTGTCTTACCGTTTAGTATAGTAATAGACAATGGATTCCTGGAGAACATCTAACTATGCCAGCTGTCTTCCAAAATGCCAGGACTGTCGACTGCCAATTACCAAATGATGGCCAGCAGTCTGATGTCATGGATGTGGTTGATGATAAACCCATTGCCAAGTGGCAAATAAAGGTATTTACAGAAATATTTACTTATGAATATTCCTATTAAGATGAAAATATATCACGTAGATGTTATTCTTTTTTCAATGGTTCTAAAGGTGGAACTCAGCTTGCCTAACTTGGGGTCTCAATTTCATCACCTAAGCTGAAGTGTTGAGTGTCATTTGAGAGTGTTCTCCTGCAGGGGGACTGTAGATATGACCTAGGTCCTACAGAGACACTTGTTCTTCAAGAGTAGAAGTTACCCTAGAGCATTTCAAATAACATTGGGTACATTTATGGTAGAATTGAATTGAGCCCAGGCTATATGTACTAATCCCTGTGTAAGGCAGATGTCTGAGCTCTCAAATGGATTGAGTCAGTAAGGTCAAGGGAGTGTACATACTGTTCAACTTACCCTAAAGTAGATACCTACCTGTGGTTGGTCAAATATCTGCCTAGACTTATGGGCAGGTTTGATTAGATTTCTGATGACTGTTGTGAGAGTTTAAATACCCATATGTAGCTGTCTGTTACTAAGTGGAAGGTCATGTCAGCAGCCCACACTGGTGATCTATCTATCGATACCTGTATTGGTTAATCCATTTTTGCTGTACACCTTGCAGATTTCTAATGATGGACTCATTTATAGCAACTCTAAAACAATGATATTATATGATGGAGCCTGTCAGATATGTGAATCACAAGAATCTGGATTATGTACGTTAAAGGTATGTGTTTCACTGCTCTCCATTATGAATAAAATGCATTTTTTCAGGCAGAAAAAAAATGTAGAAAAATCAGCAGAATATATCCTGTTCTTTTTCCAACAGGGATTTTCTATGCACAGAAATGATATACACAGAAAGACAAGCTGAGATGAGGCAATTTTAAATGTAAAGAATAAAACCAAAAGCACTTCATATAATTACCAAATAAACCCAAACTTACTGTCAGTTGCTTAGATTTAAAAACAAGCTTAGTTGTTTAATGGAAGTGCAGAATTATTAGATTTTATTTGGTGCTATACAAATTCATAACCAATTTGATAACAAAAAATATTAATAAATCACATTTTTATTTCTCTAAAAGGAGAAAACATGCAACATAGATGGACTCTGTTATGGTGAAGGAGACACAAATCCAACCACCCCTTGCTTACTCTGCAGACCTGACATATCAAAGTTAACTTGGTCAGTTGTTGAAAGTAAGTTCTAAATAGTTCTTTTGTAATACCAAGAAGTTGAAAGTCTACTAAGCTTTTATATTTATGGAAATAGTGATGGTTTAGTTTTAACTATTTACAAAAAACTAATGAAAATTAACAACTTTCGGTTTAATTGGCACTTTGAAGTCTTTTGGTATTTAGCAAGCTACATCCACATATGGTTGTCTTCAACATATAGAAAGTATTTTAAAAAAAATTATTCTGATACCAAACAGATGGAGATCACAAACTGAATTAAATTACATGTAATATTTATTAGGCCCTTAATATTTGGACATCATCTACATCAATGGCATAGATACATGGCCTAAATATTTGAAAGTATATCCAAAGTTTTCATACTTCAGTCCATTTAGAAACCACACTATGTAAAGAAGACCTAAGATTTTCCTTTTCCATACTATAAAGTTCTAGACTAGAAATGTAGTTCAATCTTTTGGCTCAGATTTTGTATTTTCCATTGGTGTTTATGTGTATGAATGTGCTGGCAAGACTGCCTTGATTGGAAAGGGTCTTGTGTGAATGGGACTCCTGGTGCCTCTATTGGTGAATCTTGTCCTCATTCAAACTTGTACTGAAAGCCAACGTAGCTATACCTATTTCAAAAGAGTGAAACCTGAATGAAAGGAATGAAATTAAACTCATCCAGCAGTCAGGAAGTCAAGGGATTTCCATGTTATAGTCATATAGTTAAAATATAGTGGTTAAATTCAATAAATTCTTTGGTTTTTTTGATGTATAGATGCAGTGCATTACAAGCTCTTGCAAAGTAAAAGTAATTTCTTGGTTATATTGGTATAGTTAAAATTAAAATATCAAGTGTTTTTTCTGTGCCATACCAATGGCATTAGAATTTAAGAGAAAAAATTCCATGTGACTTTCTTAATAGAAAGATATTATCCTTTTAATTTTTTTAAGTAAACTGTAACTTTTGCTTAAAAGATGAGAACATCTTCTTTGTTACAGACAATCAGCCTCCAGTCCTTGAAACTTCTCAGGTTATGCTACAGACTTTTTATGGAGAAGATTTTGTATATCAGTTTTTGGCTTCAGATCCAGAGGGCTCTGCTATTCATTTCACATTGGATTCTGGTCCAGAAGGTGCCAGTCTTTCCCCATCAGGTCTCCTTTTGTGGAAAGCTGTGTCAACAAATCTCCATAAACTAACATTTTCTTTGACAGATGACTGCAATGCAACAACTAAGGTAGAAATAGAGGTAATGAATATTACAGTAAAATGACACCTACTAATAAGATATTTAAGATATCTAATTACAGAACTCATTGCTAGTACATTAAAAAAATAGAAAACTGTCTTATTGGGCATGTCTTGTAGGTCAGTGTAAAATCATGTGATTGCCTAAATAATGGCTCATGTGTGACAAACATTAATTTCCCACCTGGAAGTGGAAGATATCTTTGTGTGTGTGTGGCTGGATTTGAAGGTGATCTCTGTGAAGGGAATACTGATGACTGTAGACTTAACCAGTGTGGTATTGGCAGATGTGTGGATGGAATAAACAGCTATTACTGTGAATGTCCACCTGAACTTCAAGGTAAACTGCTACTTTATTTACACACATTTATCACGTTCCGTGATAAATAGGAGTTTCTAATTATATGTCTGAAATTCTATTTTTTTAATTTTTGACCGTAAATAGCTTACTGTTAGATTATAAAGAAATTTTCTGTTCTGGTGATAAAGATATATGGTATACTTCAAGATTTTTCTTGCATGAATACAATGGTTGTTTATTTTAGTTTACTATGAAAGCAAATTTCCACAGAGGTAAACTCAGCAATATGGAGAAACATACGAATGATGAGTTTGGTTACAGTGTGATTTCTCCTGCAGATAAACATGTAGTTCCCACAGCTCATTTCTTCCATATTCTGCAGTAAGCAAGATACTTAATATAAGATGAAAAAATGTGAATTGCAAACCTAGTCAGCTGTTCTTATTAGCTGTACTGAAATGATAGATATTTTTTTCTCTATTTCAGCACTGGCATACATTGTACTTTTATAAATATGCCATCAAAGTCTAATGACACAATATTATAGAAAATTAAATCTGTATTTTAATGCAGGTAAACACTGTCAAGAGGATGTAGATGAATGTGTATCCAGTCCTTGCTTCCCTGGAGTATTTTGCTTCAATACTTTTGGTTCTTATGATTGTGGTCCATGCCCAAATAATCTGCAAGGAGATGGGAAGTCATGTTATGGTAAAATTCCTTGTTTTTCAAAAGAGTAGTACTCTCTTACTGTCAGCAGTAGTACTATCTGTAGTCAGAAAAACAGGACTGTGTCTCTGGTGATGGCAACATCAAACTGTACTGGGTTTCGTAGCTGTAAAAAACTTCTAGTGACAAGAAAAAAACAGATACAAAACACCCCAATTCTTTTATATCAAAGTAGAATACAATGAAATTTTGGGGGGAGTTTCTTCATTATTTTCATAATATGAGAAATTATTGACAAAATATTTTTCTATTAGATTGATTAGCATAGAATTATTTACCCAAATCAAGGCATTTGCCAAATAAGGTGCCCAAACATTTATTTACAATGCAATTACTGAATAACTTGTATTTTAAAATACTCTGTTAAAAACTTTTTTAAAGTTATTAAGTTTTAATGTTATTAAAAAATATTTAAGAAATATTTTTTACTTTTTATCTGCTTTCTGAATTTTGAGTTGTTTTTATCTATTGCAACTTTAACTTTTACTTTATTTAAAGTTGAAACAAATGTAGCTGCTTCTGTGCACTACTAATGTGCCTTCACATATTTTTTTTAGAAAGCTTTGAAGACACTGATGTTGAAAGGAAGGATTCCACAGGAGAAATTGGAGGGAATAAAGGTGATTTCTTTTCATAAAGAGAATTGAATTTCCAATTCACATACTGATAAGAATATAGTTGTCAAACAAAGGTCCTAGTCAGTTTTATGTTAGTTAGTTTAATTTTTCAGTTTGACACAATTTAATTCATTACTAGGGTTGTATTCTGATCTGAAAAATGAGACTGAAATGTCAATATCAACAAATCCCTTAGGTCAGTCAAGTAATTTTATTAAGAGTGTGATGTATGACACTCCTAGAGTTGCCTTTTGTTTTAGTGACTAACCACTGACATAAAATAGGTAACATGGGGATAGGAACATCTGCTATATGAGATAAGCAAAAGTTTATGGCATTTTGTTGAATGCCATTTTCCTGCTTTAACTCAAAGGAAAGGTGAAAGATGTGGCAAGTGACTGTCTTTATTCTAAAACTCTAAATGCTGTTGCTGGCATTTCCAGGTCTGTGCCTGCTGGGGCTTTCTTTGCAGGAAATTCTCGTGTGTCTTTTCCCTTTATCTCTGAATTGTTGTTGAGGGAGAAGGGAGGTACTCTCTCACTCCACTGCCAATGCTGGATAACTCTTCATCAGCTGCAAAATGGTTTGCTTTTCAGCATTAGGAGATAGCACTCTAATACGATTCAGTAAAGTTTAACCTTTTGTGGACCACTTTTTAGGACTTTTGTAAATGGATTGGGGTTTCATTCTTCCTCCTTCTCATAATGCTAAAAGACCACATATGGCATTCCAGCAGTCTTGGATTACAGTACCTTACTCCTTTCCACAGACTTCCAACTTTTCTTGGGCAGAATATGAAGAACATTTCATTCATTTTGCACTCCTTTCAATGAGGAGGCTGAGTTTAGCAAACACATGCAAAACCTACTAATAAAACCCATGTAGAAACTTTAAGAAAGTTGCTTAAAAAGTTTGAAGAGTAAAAGATGGTAATACTTTTGCAACAAGGTGGTGGATTATTCACTGAGAATACTGTCCATGGTGCATCAGTAAGTAAAATCATCTATATACTTGTGATTAAATCTCTGCTTCTGGACTCTCAGCTTGTTACTAGCACTTAGACACACTGATGAACCATATGCAGTATCTTTTCTTTAAATTCTTTCAGTTACCTGGCTGGAAGCCATATATGGATCCGGTAATCTGCTCTGACAGTAAATCTCTTTATTGACGTGGTATGGGAAAATCTCTGCTATCTGACTCATATATATGGTGATTCCTCCTTATCTTCCAGCCAAGAAAAGGCCATGGTGAGGGTGGAAAAGGACGTAAACAGAATACCTTGATCTTCTCTAATTCTACCACTTAGGTTCTACTGCTTACATTCTGATGTAACACATGGAGGGACTTCTTGAATCACAGAATGAATGGGCTGTATGTTTATCTGTTCAGAAAGCATTCCCCACGCTCAGAAGGAAAAGAGTCTGTTACTGTTCACATACTTTCCCCCCCCTTTCTTTCTAACATGCTGCAGGGTTTCAACAATCATCCTTTGAGAAGGTTTTAAGCATCTCAAGCTATATTCCCAGTTCTACAGATGTCCCAAAAAGATTTATTTCTACAGAAATGGTCAGTAGCAGCACACCACCAGCCTCCACAGTAAAAACAATCACTGCCTGGAAGTCACTTAATTCTCAGAGAAGTGCTTCTTTACAACCTGCTGTTACTGGAAACATTGCTCACACTCTCAGGACCATCAGTGGTCACCTTGCTGACGTGGAAGTGAGTTCTTCAGTACATACTGTGATGACTGCATCTTCAGAGAGCCATGCTGTATCACCTGAGAAGAAAACAAGGCCACAAACTGAGGCCTACAGCTATTTTGACACTAGCAGGAAGACTTCTCCTAGCAGCAGAGCAAATATAAGCAAAGGACTTTCTTTGCCAAGCAAAGCATTCAGAGGTGGCAATGTTCAGAGAGTTCTGCACCTATTAGCCAAGCATAAAGCAAGTAATTTACCTTTTGCCCCTGTCAAAGTCACTGTCCCACCAAAAATGCTTCCTGAAGAACTGAGTGAAGCAGTGATTCCTAAAGCAATAACCTGTACTGACTTACCCTGTTTTCCTGGTGTACACTGTGAGCCAAGTCTGGATGGAAGCATCAGGTGTGGTCGTTGTCCTTATGGTTATTATGGAGATGGCTTCACTTGCAGAGGTATTACAAATAACTGAACTTAAATGACTTGAAAAAAAGAATATTGAGATGTCTTTATAACTTGAAAGTACATTGTTACTGTATAATCAGTGAAAAGCTTAGTGTATTGAATTTTCTCACTTTCATTATTAATATTGGCATAGCCTACAGGCTTTTAGTTGTAAGGATGCACTTAAAAATATTTTCCTGATGTGTCTTAGACTCCCATTTACAGACAGTGGCATAATGGATTCTCTGTGATTTGTGCATTATGTTAGGCAAAACACAGTTGTGTGAAATGCCAATTTTATTTTCCTTATTCCCTTTGTTTTCTTCATTGCCTTTCAGCAAGATGTAGACAAACATGTGGCAAAAATATGGAGTGTGTGGCACCCAATATTTGTAAATGCAAGCCTGGTTATGCTGGTTTTAACTGTCAGGCTGGTGAGTATGGCATTTTGATTTTGCCTGTGGTAACTCATATGCACAAATTAATGATTTGAAGAGTGATATTGATTTTTTCGCACAGCTCTGTGCAGACCTGATTGCAAAAACCATGGGAAGTGCATTAAGCCAAATGTCTGTGAATGTCTACCAGGATACAGTGGCTCCACTTGTGAGGAAGGTAAATAGAGTATTTTTTGCTTTTGAATACATAAATACCCAAAGGATGCTGTGAACAACTTCCATGACTGTTCATTCTGACAGCAAAGAGGTGTGCTCATTTTACTTTTACTTTAACAGAACCCTTAAGTAACACAATGGTGTACATCCTAATTTTCTTGATATACATTGTAATGTTGCTTGTGATTGGGTATTCCTAAATTTAGCTTTTGCTGTAAGTAGAGGACTTCACCAGTGAATGTAATTTCCCCTAAGCTAAACAGTCCTGAAGAGTGGGAAATACTATCTGGAAATTGTGTCAGGTTTCTTTTTTTCAGGGTGGCCACCACTGTTGAGACTGTGTACTCTTGGAATGAAATTCTTGTTGTTATTCTTGTCAAAATGCATTGCATATGTCTCCTTATTTTATTTCCAGTTCTTTGCTCACTGTCAGTTATTAACATTTCCCTTTTTATAAAGCATGACCAATCCATGTATCTTTGTGGAGCTGATTTCTTGAACAACATAATTCTGTACCTGCAGCACATTGTAAACCACCCTGTCAAAATGGAGGCACGTGTTTGGCCAGAAATCTCTGCACCTGCCCATATGGCTTTGTGGGACCAAGATGTGATACAAGTAAGCAAAAGAGCATGAGGGAAAAATGCAGAACATTTGTTTCTGTTGTTCAGGAGCAAGAAAGTAAATTATGGTTTAAATTTTTATGCACTCTGTCTAATGCTAGCAAATAACATAATATCTCTGCCTCTTTGAAGGAGCCCATACTTGGGCTTTTGAACATTAGATAATATTTGCACATAACTTTGAAAACATAATGGACTATTAAAGTTTGGCTAGATTTCATCCTGGTAATTTCTATCATTCAGAGAGTCCAAATTTAGACATGCTGTTTATATATCATTCACTTGAATGTACTACTTTATTGACCCAGAATTGAGAAAGTTCTTTGTCTCCTCCTCAAATCCCAGCACTTTTGGACTCAGTTTTTCTTGTTCTAGTCTCATTTGTGACACTAAAAAAAAAAAAACCAACCAGCTGCTCTTTGTTAAGGAGTACTAAAGAGAATGAGATACAGTCTTGAAGAACTGATTCATGGTTTTCCAGAGCCATGATACTTAAATGTCTTTGCTTGTTAGTCTCGTGTCACTACAAGCCCTTGCTGAAGTGATGGAAGACATTTGACTGAACTTTCATGGAGTCCATCAAACTCATCATGTTACATGGTCCACTTGTCTCTTAGTATAGCATTTTCCATTTCTTTTAGAATTTTTTTGAACTTTTCTAGGTTTTTAACACTGAATATAACCAAACCATGGATAATTGCATGGAAAGACATTTTATTTACTTTGTTGTCTGGTGCTAGCTATTATGGGTTTGAGACTGGATGAATCTGTTCAGGAATTCCTCTTCAGCTAGTGGAATTGTATGTTATTTCCTGTGTTGATATGTAGGAAAGAACTGAAATATTAGTCAAGCATAATTTGTAACCTATCTCTTTCTCTCTCTTCACCCCAACCTCCTCCCCCGCCTTCTTCTTTGTTTTTGCCCAACGTTTTGCATTCTAGTGGTTTGCAACAGACATTGTGAAAATGGTGGTGAATGTCTCACTCCAGACATCTGCCAGTGTAAACCTGGGTGGTACGGACCTACATGCAGTACAGGTAACACTCCTGTAACTTCCATGTTCCTAAGAGAGTGTCCATGGGACCTCCCATAGTTTGAAATCTGGAACTGTGTGGCTCAGAGAGCAGAGATGGGCAGCTGCTTACTGCAGCAGAGCTCCAGCACTCCTTCATGACTCTGCATGTAGTTTTGCTGCCAGCAGCACCTCTTGGAAGTCTTATACTGATCCTTTAATTTTGGTGAAGATTCTGTGGGAATGCTGTTACCTGCAGTTATCTTAGGTGTTTAGTTCCAGTCCTTGCAACACACACACATTTTTTTATATAATTTATTTGGATGTCATGCTTCCCATTCTTCCTGATCCTATTTCTGCAGCAATGTGTGATCCTGTGTGTCTCAATGGTGGTTCCTGTACTAAGCCAGATGTTTGCCTCTGTCCACATGGATTCTTTGGTGCCCAGTGTCAGAATGGTAATATTTTATATTTTTCTTACCCTCACCCCTTAGCTGCCAGTATGAGACAATGTGTGAGAAAACATTAAGACACGAAATTAACAATCAAGTCATGTACCTGAGAAGTGGTGCAAAACAGATATTGGGTTTATTTTTTAGATTTTATGACTGATTCAATGAGTGTTCAAGGAGAAGGGAGACTCAAAATTTGTCTTGTCTTCCACTCAACATTTGAGCAGCATTCAACCAGTGCCATTGTATATTTTGTGTAGTCTAGTTACTCATGTACACATACAGTTGCCATCCTTGACCCCTTTTTATCTGTTTTTGTCTTTACTATTGATGTTGGCACCAAATCACATTAATATGATTTTTACAACACTGGCTTAATAGTTCTGAATGTCTATACAAGCTGTCAGAATCTTAGTCTTGTTCTCTTGTTTCATAGAAGTATATCACTAAGGCAAACAAAATACCAACTACAGCCTTTTCCTCCTGTTTCTATCTTTTAGCTGTCTGCAGCCCGCCTTGTAAGAACGGTGGTCATTGCATGAGAAATAATGTCTGTACTTGTCCTGATGGGTACACAGGTGGAAGATGTGAAAAAAGTAAGCCAGTGTTAAAATCCTTCCAGGATCCAAAAATAATAAACAAATTATTCTGTAATCAGTTAAATGTATTGAACAGCACATGTTTTTGATTTTAAGGTATCTGTGAGCCAAGGTGTATGAATGGAGGAAGATGTGTCGGCCCAAACATTTGCTCTTGTCCTTCAGGATGGAGAGGAAAAAGATGTGACACTCGTAAGTACCTAGTAGTTAACAGGAGAACCATACCTTACAAGTAAGATATGATTTAAGGTAACTCTGTCCACACAAGTAATAGGAAGTTAGTGCCAAAGAACTTAAGTATATACACATGTTGAAAAAAATAGTAGTCTGTAACTTGGAAGTGAAGTTTAGGATGGAGAACTAATACCGTGCAGTTCTTAGGCTAAATCATGAGACCAAAATATCTTCTAAGTTCTTGTACAGTAAATATTATCTGTTTCTTTCTTAATTCTTGTCTAAATAAGAAATATCCATATTTCTGCAAGAAGCTGAGTTCAATAAAGTGAAAGAAATTCAATTTGTGCTGTAGGATATAAAAACAGATAGAAAAAGAAGTTCAGTGAAAGATGGGAAAACTGGAAACGGTGGGAAGTGATTGAAATAGAAGATGCAATGAGCACAAGCTCTTTAGGACAGGCAGAAATAGGACTGTGATGGTAGAACATCTGTGGGTCACATTATATCTTAATGAAGATACTGATGGTGCATAAAGAAAATGTGTCAGCGTGGATAAAAGCACAATCTGCATGAAAATCAGCATGAGGATGGGTGGTAGAAATCCCATAACTAAAGTGTTAGTGTCTGTCATAGTACTCACCCGAGGCTCAGGAACTGATGGGGGCAATAAGCTCTCTAAGGGCACGGAGGAAAAACAGTTTTCCCTGTATTACTTTCTGTAATTATTGGAAAGGGTTTTTTTTTTTGTTGAAAAAAATATTACCAGTCTGGACATGGATGAGATATTCTTGGACACTCTGGAAGAGAGATTTGATTATCAAATAGGCACCTAATCAATGGAAACAATAGCGGGTTAATTATCGTTTAATAAGCAGGGGCAAATGTGCAGAGAAATGGGTCACGGAAAATAACTTTGGATCAAATGTTCATGAGTTGATTCACCATGTGTTCAGTTGCATGACAGACAAAAGATCTCTCACCAAGGTATGGGGTTTAGAAAGATAAATTTAGAAAAAGCAATGCTATTTAGCATATTTCAGGCTTTTGTAACAATCTGTGATGCCACAGAACATCTCAATCCGTGCTTTGGCTGTAGGGCTTTTTGTTTCCAGTTGCCTTTCTTCTTTAATATTCTATTGATCTTAGATAGATAGTTCAGTGAAGATGATGTGACTCTTGTGTATGGAAAGCACTCAACCTCTCATGAGCATCCTGAAATCTGAGTCATAAATCAAAGTAATCACTTGGAATTTAACCAAACTTTGTGATAATGTTTGTGCAGCAATCTGTCTTCAGGAATGTAAGAATGGTGGGGAGTGTATTGGACCGAGTACATGTCATTGTCCTCCGCAGTGGGAAGGAATCCAGTGTCAAACACGTAAGAATTATGTGACCTGAAACCTCTTGCTTCAGCACAATTCAGACTGCACAGTACAGCCATATGCAGAGCCTTGAAGTTCTATACCTTGGTTGTATTTTACCCTAATCTGTGTCAAAGGCAGGATAAAGAGTAGAGATTCGTCTGCCCATTCTGAAGCCCTCCAGGATATGATGGCAGTCTGGGACCGTGGCAGTATGTGTTGGCTTGCTCTAATACTGTACACTGCTGTACCAGCCCTGAGAAGCCATTGCAATAGCTTGAAATAGTAAGATGCATTAAAAAACATCTTACTCTTGTTCCTTGCTTGGTCCCATTCACACTCTTGGCATGTTCTCATGTTAAATCTGCATCAAAGCATGAGGGGGATGGGATGGGCATAAGAACTTTGTTGGTTCCACATGACCGTTAAGTCTCCTATGCTGAGGGGTGTTTCCTTGCGAAAATACTGAACGAGTTCTTGGCTCCTATAAGCAAACAGAATAAGTATATAGAAATAGTAGCCACTTTTCCTCCACCAAGGTGTTTCCATGAATAAAGCCACATATCTCTTGTTTTAGCTGTATGCAACCAGAAGTGTCTGTTCGGAGGCAAGTGTGTGTTGCCCAACGTATGCTCTTGTCGTCCAGGTTATACTGGAGTCCTCTGTGGGAAGAAAATTCAGG